ACAATTAATTCTTACAACCTACTTATATAGTTAATTCCTAACACTACTTATTTTCTATAAAATAATCTGTCATATCGGTATACATATCCAGAAGGTAATATAAGTCCTTTAAATCTTCCTTGTTTTGAGATGATAGATTTTCATAACAAATCCATCTTTTTCGCATAGTTGAAAGAACAGGATCAGAAAATAGAAGTAAACTATTAAAAATATCTTCATTCTGTGATTGCCTGGAGCATTTTCTTGAGCTGAATAGTTGAACATGCTTAAAATCTCGATTCCTCGCTTCCTGGGCTTCTTCTGTTAACTCTCCAAGTGGAAGAATATTCGATTCAATTATTATTTGACCATGACACAATACTTTGTGTACTGTTGGTGTTAGTTCCCTCCATGGATACAGAGATACAAGTAATTTAGAAATTTCAGATGTATATTCCCCAAATCGATTTCCATTAATTTTATGTTTACTATTCAGTGCCATTAAAATAGTGTTAACTCTTCGAAGCAACTCCTTGTCGATTCCAGTTATTTTTGAAGTAATTTCAAAATCACGAAAAAACCTTCTCGCCGTATTACCGTCATTTGTACTACCGCAACTTGAAAGTGGTTTGTCGATGTTTAATCCCATCTGAACTTTAAATTCTTCTTGGATACTGTTTTTTTCCGCAGTTCTCAGTTCTTTCAATTCTTCATTATTTTTTGTTGATTTAGTAAGATTCTCTGGCACACTTCTATATTTGAGGTCGTATGCTATGTGTAAAAAGTAATCCAAAAATCGTATTCTGGCATAAAGTGGTGAAATTCCGAAAGACAGGACTTCTTCATTAATACTTCTGCTTTTGTTTATATTTGAGAATTGCGACTTTTTCTCATTACATATTGAGCATCTCCAGAAGGAAGAAGTTTCTGTTATGGCATTGCTGACCTTTCCATCAATCATTGTTAAGCTTAGCTGATATGATACGTTAATAGAGAATTCCTTTATTTTTATGCAAATGGGCTCCAGTGCATTTATTTCATCTTTTAAATATTCCACTAAATCTTTTGTTGTTTTCTTTGACGTCTTTATATATTCAAATCCAATGGGTCTACAAAAATTTTTTGAACCCGGAGTTGTATTGATCCATATATCTTCAAATGAATTTCCGATGCTTGACGATGATGGATTAAGGGAATATGAACGAATTCGTAATGGCACTAATGATGACATAAATACACTTTTGTAGTCTGCTAATGTCCGACTTCCACAAGCTTGTTTGTATTCTGGAAGTGCTGATAAACCGTCACATCCCCACTTACACATTAAGACAACATCACAGTTATGAATTTTCCTTAGTTGGTCTTTTGAAAAGTCTGACACAATTCTTGATGATGTGTTTTCGAGCAAAGATGATATATCAATACAAGCTTCCACATCATTAACAGCAATAGGTGATGGTAGGATAGTTTGTTTTTTTCCTGGATCGCCTTGTATGATGGTAATATATTGGGTCCTTTTTCATGCAGAGCTTTCCTTAATATTTGGTACTTATTTCGACTGAGACCCAGTTCCAACATAAGCGCTATTGCTTCCTCTTCAGTAAAATTTGATTGTGATGTTGGAGTTGGTATACTTTCCACAATTCGCTTAAGTCGTTTTGGTGATGCATTAGGAAGAATAGTTGCAATATGTACGGCATCCATAGGTTGGTTTTCCTTTTTCAGCATTTCGTTAAATGTATCAGCAATTTCCTCATTTGAGATTGAAAAAAGTTTTTGTGTGACCCTCTTTTTTTTGACCTTGAACATAAGTCTTCGTATGACTTACAAGGCGCTCCTGTTGATGTGTTGTAAGTTGAGATTTCCGTATCATTACCTGTATATTTTTACCTACATGATCATAAACGAAACAGAACGAAATGATCTGTCGAAAAAATGTAGGTAAAAAATTGTTATAAATTTTTGAAAATTTAAGCATAATAGGATAAGCAAACAAATAGAAAATAGGTAAATATAAGATTTAAATATGTTCTGTCATACTTAATACTAAAATATGAAAAATATGAAATTAAAGGACACAGGTTTAAATGAACATATTTTTGAATGTAATTGAGATATTGGCTTGAATTTTTTTGTAAAGGGTCGAGAATTTCCATGTCTAACTAAAAAATGATATTAAGGGATAAATATGGACTAAATTGTTGTAGCTATCTGCGACCCTATTAAAATTTTGATATAAATCATAGTTTTAGAAATTAAACAAATATGTAATATATGACAAAATCTTTATTTATGAACAAAACTCAATGAAATTTTCAACGCTTGTTAAATTTGTCATTTCAAATAAGAAAATGCAAAAAATTGAAAAAGTCAAAGGGCATCCCGCAATTCCCAAAAAATAGGAATGAAAATCCCAAAAATGGGATTTTTTACATTTTTGCCCATAGGGTCCACATTTCTTTTAGGGCTGGGAAAATACTTTTGGAGTAAATAGAAAACATATTGAGGTTTCCAAAACTGTGCCTCGTTTCTGTAACTCCCGCATCGAGAAGTTTCTCGCATGAAACAGTGAAATTGAAGAAAAAACAATGTGAGTTGAAACAAAATATCATTTCTCACATGCAAGTGTTTCTGTAAGAAAATTTTGTGAGAACTATCTGTCATTTATGATTTTTGACATAAGTTATTGGAAATTTGTGAGTAAAAGTGTTTCTGTAAGAAAATTTTGTGAGAAGTTTCTCACATGAACTGTCAAAAAAACTCACATTTTAAAACGGTGCGGAAAGTAAAATTTTAAGTAAAAAAATTTTATTTAAACATGAATTCTATGAAATAATGAAAAAGTAATGTTATATTTATAATTAATTAAGATTGAAATAAATATTGTTTTAGAAAATAGGAGGAATTTCCGATATACAGAACCAAATGCTAAAAAAGTACGTGGGTGTAAACTTAGAATTTGCCAAGGGCGAATTTAGTGGAATAATTTTTCGAACAATTTTCATTTAATTTCTATATTTTTTATTTATTTATTCTTCGTTTATAAATTTGTTCGGCAATTTTTGTTTTCTTCTTTTAATTTTTATGTTTTTGACAGCTGTTTTATTGGAAATTTCCAATAAAAACGTAATTCGTGTAGCCTCTTCTCACTTTAAGTTACAGAAACACTTTTTACTCACAAATCGAGAAACGATGGAATTTTTTGTTTCACACTTCTCGATGTGAGAACTTCTCACTAAAAGTTACAGAAACGGGGTACTGCTTTCAGTTTTCTGATCCCAGCTTTGGGATTTTAGAACATGTCGCCCAAAGTTGAAGTTTTGATAAAAAATAGGTCATATTCGGAAGGACGCAGTGGCAACATTTTCAAAAAATAGGACAAGTTTTTAACGCCAAAGCGTTCTGCGTAAAGATACCTTTTAGAAAACTATAAAATTGTTATATGTTCTTAAAGAAAATTTTATTTTATTAATAAAAGAGTTAAGACACATTTTTGGCAAAAAACGGCAAAAATCTAAAATTTTTTTAATTTTTAAATTAAAAAACGTATATTTTTGGATCTGTAAATGATATTGATCTTTTGTTGTCTAACTAACAAGAAAAAATTGAGTCCATTTGGTCCAAAATTACGCCCGGTATTCAAAAAAAGGCGGACCAAGGTATGGTAAATTTTGTATCACTAAATTTTTAAATGCCTATAACTCGGATATTATAAGAGATAAGTAGTATGTCCAAGCATGTTTTTTCAAGATCTCTCTCGAGCGCTTTCAGAAAATATAAAAATCTTTGTATTTGGATGAAAAACAAAAAAATGGCACGAGTTTAAAAATTTTACATGTCGTAGGTACCCTATTTTGAGCCGCCACAGCGCCGTCCCTGGGGCATCTGCAGGGTTCATCTTCAAAACTTAAACTCGAATACTCCTTGGCTACGCTCACGCCAAATTTTATCCCGATCGGATCAGCCGTTTAGAAATGCCAGATTTATTTCCAAAAAATTTCCATTCTGCCCCACTGTGGATCGGTCCATAATTGGTCATAGCTCCCATACAAGGTTCCCTCCCGAAAATCTCTTAAACGCACATAACTCATTACTAAATTAAGATATCCATATATATTTGCTACAAGTATTGCTCATATGCACAGAAATATTACTGTGAAATCTTTTTCCGATCGGTCCATAATTGGTCATAGCTCCAATACAAGGTCCCCTCCTGAATATCACTTAAACGCACATAACAAAATATTGATATCCATACATTTAGCACAAATATTGCTCTTATATACATAAATTACACTATAAAATTGTTTTACGATCGGTCCATATTTGGTCATAGCTCTCATACTAGGTCCCCTCCAGAAAATCACTTAAATGCACAATATTCATTACTAAATAAGGATATAGATACAGAATTTTGAAATTTTGTCTTTATATACATAATTGGTCATTGCTCCCATACAAGGTCCTTTTACGAAAATCTCTTACACGCCCATTACTTTGATTGAAATATAGCTTTTGTGTACAGAAATTTAGCTTAAAGAATTTTTTCGCTCGGTCTATAATTGGTCATATCTCCCATACTAGGTCCTGCCCCTAAAAGCACTTAAACCGTATTCAACTAGTTGCATTATCAATTTGTGTAGAACAAAATTATATATATGTATTTTGAAAATCCTTAAATCTTTCACACACATTATTTAATATCGTTAAACCATATCTTAGGGTGCTATAAAAATATAAAAGAAAATGTAATGTTCAATAAATTTTGGAATTGTAACAGATTTAAGCTGTTTAAATCATGAGAAAACTTATTTCTACAAATATTTGATCAAATAAAAAAGTATTAATATAAAAGGTGGAGGGTATTTAAGATTCGGCTCAGCCGAATATAGCACTCTAACTTGTTTTAATTTAAATTTTTCTAATAAACTTTATTTGCCATCCTTGTTAATAAACAATAATAACAATATTGTTCGATTATTTAAAACCATTAAACATGTTTATTGTTATATTTTTACTAGGTTTTGCCAACCGATGGTTTTCCTGCTTTAGTTTGTTGTAACTGTAAGTCATATTTACAAACGTTCTGGAACTTTAGAGAAATGGCTCATAAGACACACACAGCGCTAACTGATTTTTTAACACTCTGCAACTCTCCTGAAAAGGTATGTACTATATTTTAATAATTTAATAAAATTTTTTAGTTCTCCTTGAAATTTTAATTGAAAATTGCTAATTTAGATTTTTATATAATTTTATAAAGCGAATAAAGTTTTATGACTCAAATTATTTAAAAACACATTTTGAAATATATGAATTCAACACCCTGGCGAGAAATTTTATTGTATCAAATTAATAGCGGGTTTTACGCAAAATCTCACCTGTCTACAGATATAGTAAATTTTTTTAAAATACTTTTAGCAATATTTTTTTCTTTAAAATTCCGTTTATCTTGAGCAAAAAAAAAAAAAAAAATAATTTGTTATTTATTATTGACATTTATTTTTTGTTGTGGTAGAATTTTAATTTACAAGCAGCGTTACATTTTTTTGTATTGAAAATTCAAACAAATAAAATTACATATATGACTTTTTATATGTCTGGTGAAAATTTTAAATGGCCGAATACATGTACATTTTTGTTACTAATGCAAATTTAGAGTTAGGTACTTTTTCACTAACACATGCTTAGAGTTAGGTACTCCTGCCAAATAGTTCACAGAAAAAAGTTTCAGCATAAATATTTTTGTTGTGTATACCATGTCAATATACTATGTGCATCACAATGTAGTTTGAAACACTCTGTTAACTTTAGAATTAAACTTAGTTGTAATATTCACTGAACACTAAGAAGTGTGGCTTATAGCACTTGAATATATTTATCACTTAACGTTATATTTTATTATTTTTTTGCACACTTTAAATATATTTAATATCCCGAAAAGATTTAATTTTTTACAAACGAAAAAATATTTTTTTATTTTTTTGACATTTAATTTTTGTTGTTGAAATTAAAACTAAAAAAAAAACAATGTTGTAAATTTTCGTATGGTACAAGACAAAAATATTTAAAATAATTTATTTATTATTTCAATATTGCAGATTAAAAAGCAAAGATACATTCATATATAACGTTTATAGATAAATTATGTTGCAAAATATTTAAAGAAATCTTTTAAAATATAAATTTAAATGTAATAATTTTTTTCAATACTTTTAAATCCCATTTTTTGCAACTATGTTGGCTTTCGAATTCTACTAATACATTCTTAGAGTTAGGTACCGACTGACAGTAGACTTAGGTACTTTTTGACAGCGTTTCACTTCTTAGTGTTCAGTGGTAATATTATTATCTTTAGATATATAATAAAGATACATATTAAACAACATGGTGAAAAAAAAATTTAAATATTATTTTGTAAAAATTAAAAATAAATATAAGAAATAAACATATATTTGCAAAAAATAAATTAAACGAGTCGAAAATGATGTCTGATATAAAACCAGAGACAATGAGCTCTAATGTAAAATTAAATTTATATTCGTCTAACATGGCCGCCGAATGGAAAACTTGGTTAGCCCAATTTCAAATTTATCTAACAGCTGCAAAGCTAGATACCGTGCTTGATGGCTGAAAAGTTGCCCTATTGATCCATCATATGGGACCAAACTGTTTTCATATATTTAGTTCGTTTAATATATCTGCAAGTGATGTAAAATACGATGACTTAATTAAATTATTCGATGAGCATTTTATCTCAAAAAAGAACATCGCAATTGAGCGCCACGCATTCTTTACACGCAAACAAAATGGTGGCGAAAGCATCGACGATTACATTACATCCCACGACAATCGGTTCTTCGCACCGGAACGACTCGGAGTTCAACGAACAACGACCAACGATTGTCAACCCAGCCACACCGACTTTAAACGTGTCGCTGCTACAACAACAACAACAACAACAACATTACATCATTAGCCTATCTTGTAAATTTGGTACACTTAGAGGAGATATAGTGAAGGATGTCTTTATTTGTGGATTGTCACCAAGCTTACAGCACATAAAAGAGAAATTACTAAGCTAAACTAGATTAGATTGCAAAAAGTATAGACATAGCACGTGAAGAAGCTGCAGATTTAGATGGTCTTGGTATTAACTACTTAAACAGAAATCATAAGTTTGAAGGCGAAAGGTGCTTAAGTCTAAATGTATGACCAAGTATATAACAATAAATGTCCGGCTGAAAACGCTATTTGCCACAATTGTAATAAAAGAGGGCATTATGCAAAAGTATGTTTTTGGAAAAGCCAACAACAACAAAATGTAATCAATGGTCTGGTCGCCAAAAACAACTACACCATTAAAAACAACAAAAAAGAAATATGTTAAGAATTTGTCTCATAATTTTGAAGATGATCTAACAGAGTTGTTTGTTGGCACATAATCGTCTTTTCATCAAAACCAACAACAAAACTATATTGGTAAAACACAACAATGTATAAACAGTGATCAACAGCAACTAGAGAACCAAAATATTTTCGAAGCTAGCTCCAGCCATCATGAACAACCAGAACATTTTATTTCTCAACAAAAGGTGATTCGTAATTTATCAAAAATTCAACAAACCCGTAAGCCAACAACTATTGGATAGTACAGTGGTTTCCCGGTTTAACGAAAGATATAATGTCAGGTCCATTCGTAAAAACGAAAAATTCGTTAAAACGAATAACAACTTTTCTATGATTTAATCGTAAAAATATGGTAATGGAAGGTAGGAAGTCAATTTTTCAAATCTTTTTAAATGCACACATAAAGTTTTTGACAATTTCCTTGCATAAATTTAGAATCAAAACAAAATTAAAGATTTTATAAAAAAAGTTAATAAAATTATATAAAAAACTATATTTTTTGTTTAATGAAGGTAACGTTTTTTCATTTCGAAAATTAATTCTTTTCTTATACAAAAAAAAAAAAAAAAAACAAATTAGGGATTTAATCCCCATTTTAATCGATGTGAATTCTAAGTACTTTACGGTAATTTTCATTACAAACAATTCCATTTCTCACTTTATTAGTAAAATAATCATAATATTCCCTTAAATAAAGAATTTTATAGTAAAATGTATGTCTACTTAATAAATCTTATTTATATTTCCGAAAATAATTTTTTAAATGTTATTTTCATTTCTATTCCAGGATTTTTGTATTTGTAAATTTTGTACCCATTGAATTGGGCATTGAACTTATATAAAATCTGAATATGTTATTGCTTTTGGTTAATAATGAAGTTTAGTGATCTCTCCGTATTATTTTTTATAGAATTTTTTTTTTTAATTCGTTATATCGAGTACAAAATTTACTCATTCATTCGTAATATAAGGTACTCAATGGAAACAATTTGCCCGTTCGTTAAATCGCGAATTCGTTAAACTGAGTATTCGTTAAACCGGGAAACCAGTGTATATTGCAGTCCTAATAAAAAATACGAAGGTGCAATTTCAAGTGGATACTGGTGCTGATACCAACATCATATCAAAATGTATGGCTGAGGATCAGTGTTGCCAGAACTCCCTCAGAATAAAATGCAAAATGACGGTCAAAAAAATGCAATTTCGTTGAAAAAAGTGCTAAATTCAAATCAAGTTTTTAAAGTCCATTAAGCCATGTTTACCCGTCTGTGCGGCTGGCTGTCCAGGTATAATGTACAGGTCGCAATTTTTCACATAATTCAACGAAAATGCAAAAGAATATTTCAAATTGGTCCATGATTTGACCTTGCCTATATAAATATCCCTTTACAAAATCTATAAGGGGTAATTTAAAAAAAAAATCGAACAAAAAAGTCCATTTCTGTCCCATTCTGAAATTTTTATATTTTATTGAAAACACTATAAGTAATCTTATGTGAAGGAATAAAGAAAATGTAAGGTACACTTTTTGAGTTATCTGAAATATTTTAATTAAAATATTTTCAAACTGCGAGACTTGATAAAATCTAAACCGTAATGAATTTGTAAATTTTGGAGAACTTTAAACTTCGTATTGATACAAAGAATGTGTGTACCAAGTTTTATCAAAATCGGAAATGTATATACATATGTATATATGTATATTAAATAACTAATAACACTAGGTAACAACGATTTTGTTTAGGATATAAAACCTATATGGTTTTCTTTGTTTAGGACGTCTAAGACCAGAAAAAGTATGTACTTAAAAAATCTAGGACGTCAAATCTTTTAATTATTCATTAAAAAATGCTAAAAAAGGGTTAAATTCGGAAGAAAAAATTTGATATTTATAGTTTTATTTTTTTTTTATAAACAATTTTATGGTCCTTATTCACAATACAAAGATATTCTTATTGCAAAAATATTGAAAATTCAGTTGGAATAATCATAAATCTCGGTGAATAGATGTCAGGTTTATTACTCATACTTCCAAGAGCTTTTAGGAAACAATATAAATGTTAATGTGACAAATGAATTATGAGGGTTATATTCAAATTTGCAAGTTTGTAATTTCTCCTCTATATAAATCCTCTTTCAGAAAATAAATTTATTCTCAATAAATTATTAAAACATTTTAGTATTATGATACATTCGAAAAAATGATACATTCAAAAAAATGATTTGATTTAAAACATCTTTCTTAGAGCTCGGTCCGTGATCCAAACCATTAAGATCGTATTCCGAAAATAAAACCGATACACGATATAAAATTTGAGCATAAATCTAATAAATAAGCAAATCTTGGTAAAGCGTGTTGTGTTGGTGCGTATGTAATATTCGGCATTCCTGAACTTTTACCTGTTTTTACATGTTCATACATTCTTATTTTATTGTATATTTTAAATTTTAATAATTTTTTTAATGTTTTTGGAAGATATTAGCCGTTTTGCGAAATAATTTCGCAAAAGCAGTACTCTGTTCTTATTGTGAAAAACATTGTGAAATTTATCTGGCAACCTTGTTTTTCAACTTACGAAATAACATAAGCAGCACTTCTTTCGCACGAAATTAAAACAAACAGCTGATTACATTTTATTGTTTTTCCCAAAATTATTATTTCTCGAGCCGAAAAAATTACAAAATCATTAAAAAATGATAAACAAAAAAAAAAAAAACACTGAATAGTTTATATTATTAAGATTTATTTTATTTT